TGTGGCGTCTACAGCTGCTGATAACGGTGAAGTTAAAGTTGGGACCTAAGAGGCAAACCCATCGAAGCTCACCTCCGTTTATCTCACAGGCGTGCCGCGCCCTTCGGCAGTATCTATGGGCGTCTCCGCCAGCTTCCTTTTAGTTAAACAGAACCAGCTCGTCTAACGTTGTTTTACACCAAACGGCGAGCAAAGCTTCGCCTCGTGTTGCTCGCACGTTTACAGTCGCCGGTCTGTTTGTGGACACAAATGTTCACCTGTGACGACCAACGAAAGAACAACCGTTTGTCCACAAACAGGGAGACGTCTTCACCCGGCCGCGGCGAGCTGGCACCGACACCTGCTCAGACTGAACGCCGCAGGAGGAGCCCCCCGCGACCCCGGACCTCGCTCTGACTGACGATGGCCTCAGTCTGATGCTCTCAGCGGTGCTTTTTTGGGGAGTTATTGCAGAAGTGCATCTTGGGAGTTGTGGCCAATCATGTTCCTGTTAGTCTTACAGACGGGTCACTGTCAGAAGGCGTGCTCGTTAGTGCCGGTGTGTGAACTCATGTCGATGATGATGATGAAGAGTCTGAGAGCGTGTGGCTCGCTCAGCCCTGAGGACGGAGACGCGTCCTCGCAGACACAAACTCAGGTGTGTTAAACATTTACCAAACCTAAAGGTCCTCATTCTGAGCCAATCAGAGCTCACGGTCTGAGGCGTCAGCCAATAAAAGCATAAAACCGACCTCAGAGCTCAAACACACAAACCTGAGATAAGAAACAAACAAGTAAAAACAAACGATTATTTTTGTTTAGTGAATAAATAAAAACAAATCTTTACTTTTACCACTATTACTGTGTGCGTGTGTACACATGTGTGTGTGTGTCTGTGTGTGTGTGTGTCTGTGTGTGTGTGTTACCTGCAGCTCACACCAGGCCACCTCCACCGTGGTCTCGGTGTCGAGTCCTTTGTAAACCGCCTTAAAGGATCCTCGTCCGATCTCGATGTTGAACTTGAGGAATCGTCCGTCGGGCGATGAAGCTACCGCCTGTGTCTCTGCCTCGTCGCGCTCTTCCTCCTTCTGTTGCCATGGTAACACCTCCCTGTTCGACAGCACCGCGGCCGCCTCCTCCCCGGAGTCCGAGCTGCCGTCCTGAGGCTTAACCGCAGCATCTGATTGGCTGGCGGGGTCGTCCTTCGATGCGGTCACGTCCGACTCCTCTTCATTCTCTTGTTGTTTTTCTTCTTCAGGTCTTTTTTTGCTGTCGCTGTCAGGGGGCCAAGGCAGCATCCTCCACCTGTGTCAGCTGACTGGTGGTGATGTCTGAGTAGGAGGAGCTGTGGGAGGGTCGATGGAGACACAAGATGTTAAACATCACCATGACGACACACCAACATACGACCTGATGAATCGGTGCAGCATCGACTCATCTAAACTCGTTGACC